CCGTCTACAGTAACCAATTCTATGCAGGCCTACGAGATTCTTGCTAATAAATGTATACACATGGCTACAGTAACCGTCTGTACTCTGCATGCATGACAAGATTAAACACCACAACATGCATTTAATTGTTCAATAAATAAATAAAATTGTATTTAATTTATATATAAATTAGTTAACTAATGTATTTAATTTATTAAATAATTAATGTATTTAATTTATATATAAATTAGATGTATTTAATTGTTCAATAAATAAAAAAAATAAAATTTGTTTATAATGTAAAATGGAAGGATTATATGTGAAGAGGATTCTCTTTTGTATATAATTTAGCCTAGATATATAACAACACTCTGCATGCATGACAACACCATATCATGCACTTCCAAGACAAGACTAAACCTGCACGCCTCCCTTCATCCATGTCACATGCATGCCTGGCAATGCTCTGCATGCATGACAACACCACAACATGCACTTCCAAGACAAGACTAAACATTCACGCCTCACATGCATGCTTGACACTTGCTCTACATGCATTTCCAATTCACATGCATGATTGAAACTTGCTCTGCATGCATTTCCAAGTCACATGCATGCTTGACACTTACTCTGCATGCATTTCCAAGTCACATGCATTCTTGAATTATAAATAGAGGTTCTTTAACTCTCAAACTCTTCTCATTCCAGCAAACTCTTCTCATCCTCATACTCTTAAACTCTTCTCATCCCAGCAAACTCTTCTCATCCAAGCACTCAAATTCTTCACCCAGCAAACTCTTCTCATCCCAACTCTCAAACTCTTCTTCACCCAACAAATTCTTAACCCGCAATGTCTCTACTCACAATGGGCAACTCTCACAAAGGCACAGTTGAGAACATCGCGGAGTTTGTAAGTATTTTTCTTTTTGTTGTCTATGCTTACAAAGTTTAATTCTCCTTTAAAACTAATAACATTTAAATTCTTTTGCAGGATGCATCAAGGTTTCGCTGTCGTGTGCATGACTACATACCACACGACCCTTTAATAGAGGGATACCTTGAAGCATGTGGGTTCGGTGATTTGATTAAACTCAAATCTTACTCACTTGAACCCAAGTTTATTCTAGCGTCGTTAGAATGCTGGAGACCAGAGACACACACATTTCACCTACCTTACGGTGAGTGTACTGTAACTCTTCAGGATGTTTACATGTTTCTTGGCCTACACATCAACGGTAAGGCCGTCAACAACAAAGTTGGTGTTAACGACCAACTTTGCGAAGATTTACTGGGCACCCCTCTTTGTGTGGACACAACTCAAACAGAACACGAGGGTCGGCCAAGGGGTCAAGGTATAAATCTTAAATACCTCAGACAACACTACAATAGTATTGTCTTAAGTGAGGAGTCCACCGAGTATGAGAAAATACTTGAAACTCGATGCTATATTATGATATTGTTTGGTCATTTTTTATTTCCAGACAGTACTAGAAATACTGTAAATATTATGTATTTACCGTTGTTGCATAACATAAACAAAGTGTGCACATATAGTTGGGGATCAACTGTTGTCGCCTATCTATATAGTGCACTATGTAAAAATGCAAAAACAATTCTTGTACTTTTTATGGTTGCGCCTATCTCCTTCAAGCGTGGGGTTGGTCTAGGATGTCAACACTTGCTCCAGTCAACCGCAATCCATTTACATTCCCATATGCTAACAAGTAAGCTTATTTTCGAGACTAATTTACAACCAAAGTTTCTTTGTAACTTAATTATTTGTACGATGTGTCTTAGAGTCTAACTTATTTGTGTTTCTTTTTTTTAGGTGGTCTGTTCTGGGGATGAATTATCAAAGATGTCCCAGGAACTCCATAGTCTTGTACCACAACCTTATCGAACACATTGGGCCAAATGATGTAATTTATATACCTTTACTTTGTCTAACTGATATGCACAGACTTATATTTCTCATTGCATATATTGTTGTTGTAGTTTGTCTGGATGTCGTGCGAGGGTCTCGACCACCAGCCCAACACCAATGATGTTGTCGTGTGGACATCCAAAACACCATCATTAGGTTCACTACAGTGGAGATGCACCAAAGTGACCGGGTGAAACTACAGTTTGGGATGCATCAGGATATTCCAGATGCTCCGACGTCATTGGGACACTAGCATCAGCTACGGGTGGATTCACAATGGAGTGTTGGTCATTGGAAGGACTTTGCGAAGGAGATGTGTCAGCATTGGAAGAACCGACGTCAACACATCTTAACCGACCCTATTGTGGAAGGGGCTAGGCCAAGTTATCAATATATGACTTGGTTTAGGTCAGTTACAACATCAAAACCATTTTTGTCTGAGCCGACATATTTGATTGACCCAAGGCAACGTGCTTCTTCCTCAAACACACAGCAACAACCTAATGCCCAAGATCAACAACAACAGCCTTACCATAACCCATACATGCCACCAAATGCCTAACATCAATAACAACAGCTTTACCATGACCCGTACATGCCACCAACCCAATCACAACAACAACAGCCTTACCCATATAGCCCTGATACGTCTTTTGACCCTACCCCTCCACCTATAGCCCATATAACTCTTTTGACCCTACCCCTTCCACCTATCCACTTTTTGACTACCAAACCCTACAACAACTAATACATCATTTCCAAACCGATTCGATGTACCAATTTGGGCAACCATACCGTCCATACTCCACCTAACCTCCTCGACAATCCTACGAACACATGGGCATTGGGCTTAATTACGGAAGCGCCGTTGATAGTGGACCTCCCGGCTATTGGGGTCAAATGCTTCAAAATTTATCATATATGTCGAGGTCGTCCGAACAAATACCTCTTCCACAAGTCAACACCCAAAGATCGAACACACCTCAGCAACCTCGTGGTAGACCTCGTCGCCGCGCGCATCCTCCACAATGTGGTACCGGTGGTCGTTTAGATAGAGCCGACCATTAATTTTTTTTATCAATTGTAATTTAAATTAATATATTTTAATATTTCTTCCATTTATTTTTTTTAGATTATTTAAATTTTAGTTAATTATGAAAACAAAAAATAAAACCTATAAAAATAAAAAACAAAAATAGAAAAGAAAAATTTAAACCCTAACGAAACAAAAAAAAAATGGGCTGATTTGCCAATCTATTTGGCGAATCCTTTAAAAAGAAAATGAATTCGCCAACCCATATGGCGAATGCATTAAGCATTTGACTAATTCGCCATTTCGTTTGACAACCTAAGGTTGAATCATAGTCACTTTGGGAAATAACTTCAACACTTATTTTATTTCGTATTTTGTTTTAATACTTTAGTTATTCTATAAAAAAATTCTAATAATAATAATAATAATAATAATAATAATAATAATAATAATAATAATAATAATAATAATAATAATAATAATAATAATAATAATAATAATAACAATAACAACAACAACAACAAACAATAACAACAATAACAATAACAATAATAATAACAACAATAATAATAACAACAATAATAATAACAACAACAATAATAAATAATAACAATAACAATAATAATAATAATAGCTTAGACACAATGAATTACATATATCATAATGAAGGGAGTGCAAGTCGAGTGTTCAAGAATTTAAGGCCTATGATGAATGTAGATAGCTTAGACACAATGAATTAAGTGGTGTATTGAGTTGTAATTCCTTGTGTCGAAGCAATGTAGCTCGACAAAAACAAGATCTAGTTGAATAGTCTAATATGTATGTGTCGAGTTGTATTAGTGTGTCGAAGCAGGTTGTTTCATACATGATTTCGACTTAACCTATTTTAGTAATGTTAGTTATTTTGGATTTTTATAGTTTTGGGTTTGTCTTGGGGTGCAAGCTAACCTAAATCTATAAATAGGGTGTAACCCTTATTTTTGAACATGATTTATAATATTGTATTCACAGTTGGCAGTTGCAAGTGAATAAGTTTCTACAATTTGTGGATAGAGAGAAACTCTGAAGAATATTCATCTTCTTCTCTAATGTTATTTTTCTTTCTTTATCTACCTTTTCTTTTCATTGTTATTGTGTGATTGATAACAATTTTGAGATCAAGATTGAGTAAAATTCTCCATTAATTGTGGTTGAATTCTAACATGGATTGGTGTCATAATGTCTTTGAATAAAAAAAGATGTTGTGTTTTATGTGTTTCTTCGTCTTATTTTTGGGTTTCAAAGAAAAAAGAAAAAGAAAAAATGTCTGTTTCATATAGGTTTGTTGGATTTCTGATATATTCAATCTCACATTTATAAGGCTTTTTAAAAATAAATAATTTGGTCTCATGATTTAACAAGTTTATAGTGCTTTTTAAAGAAAAAAGTAACCATATAAAGGTTTTAAAAAATATTTAAAATTTTACGGTACTTTTTTAAAAAAAAAACACTATTGTACGAAGATATGTTATGTCAAATATCACATAGTATGCTAAACAATTAAGCATATTATGTCAAATATACCTATTAATATATATATTTTTTGAATATTTAAATCAATATTTTCAAAAATATTAAATGAGAGTTAAATAGACGAGAAATGTAAATTAGATAGGTTAGGTTCAAAGACCTAATTAAAATTTTTGGTTTGAATCTGATTTCATGTAAAGTTTTGATTTGAGTATGTTTTGGTCTTGAATTTAATAGAAATTTATTTAAACAAATATTACAAGAATTCTTTCTAAATCATCAAGCCTTTAATTCTTCTTTGTTTCTTAATCAATGTTATAAAATAACCATAACTAAAAATATTACGAATAGTAACCTGATGCAATATATCAAGAATAACAATAATACTACAACAAGAACCTTTTATTAGTATTATTTTTAAATAAGAAACGTACTACATATTGGGAGATGAAAATAAATTAACACTATTGTTTAAATCTACTTTGATTTCTTTTTTATTGTGTATTCTCTTGTGAAATAAAACTATTGTTGTAAGAAAAAAAAACAAGACATTAATTAGTATACGACATATGTATTTTTTTCTTCATCAATGCGAGTAATATTGATATTATCTAGTACAATGTTGATGCAGCTAATGGTAGGTTCACATTTTAGTTGGATTGGATCTTTGGTCGAAGTTCCATGTAGATTGCGAAAAGTAACATCAGTCACTGCCACACCTTTGTCAACATCGTCATATATTTTAGGGTTATAACTCTGGTCAATAATTATAGGATTCTTGACTTCGATAAATTCAATATCTTCATATGTGATATTCTTCGCATATCCATTTCCTCCCTAATGAAATAAAAAATTACAATATTTTCATGTCAAACTCAACTTTATGAAATTAATTTATAAAATAAAAAATAATGTCACTTAAAATTTATCCATATGACTTTATTAATAACATTATTATGATATTTTTACTAGAATTATCCATTTATTCTGCTAGATTTAATATATACTTACCTCCCATGTCTTGATTCTAGCTCCATTTGAAGTTTTCGTAAATGTGCAATTTTTAACGTATATATCTTCTACTTTAGCATATTCTCCATTTTTTCCGAGACTGCCAATACTAAAATCACCAATTCCATATAATTTTAATATTAGTTAAATTATAAATATATAATAAAAAAATTAATTAGCTTTAAATATTAATTTAATTTGAATTAACCTGATGCCATGACCAGGTCCACATAAAACACCAATTACGTTGATAAAGGAAGAGCCCGTGTTAATGGCAACACAATCATCACCTACAAATTAATGATAAAAGTTATAAAAAAAATCAAGATGAAAATCAAACAAAATTATTCTAATATAATTTTGTAACTCTTTGATCAACCTAACAAAGGTAAAAAAGAACGATAAAAAAAACAAAGTGAATTTATGTATTGTAATGACCTGTTGTTATTGTTGAATCCTTAATGATGACATTGGTTGAATTTGCAATATCAATCCCATCGGTGTTAGGACTATCTTCTCGTGCAATCATTTTAAGATTGGATATAGAAACCTCTTTACATGAAGTTATACTCATATGATTTTTTGGACTATCAGAATGAGTCAAGTTGCTAATTGTAAGTCCTTCACACCGAATAAACTTAATACCCTGCATATACATATTATAAAGTATTTAAGTACTTAAATAGTTAAATTAATATATATATATATATATATATATATATATATATATATATATATATATATATATATATATATATATATATATATATATATATATATATATATATATATATATATATATATATCATATGAATCGACTTACAGAAGGCCTTTTACTTTCATCATCAGGATACTCTTTCCACCATGGAGCACCTTGGCCATTAATTTGTCCTCCCCCATTAACAATAAGACCATTTATGTCCTCGAATCGAATCCATCCTGTCACTTTATCTTCTGTCCATTTCCAATCCTCAATGTTTTTTGGAGCAATTATAGTTCCTCCAAGCTATAAAAAAAAAACACACACACATTTGCATTGTATATATCACACATATTAATGTGATAATTGAGGAAATAGATTGTATATTTTAAATTACATATTTCTCTTCAATATAACAATTCAATCAACTTTTTAAATGAATCACGCTATTAACTATCATTACACTTCAACAAAAAATAATTTATTTTATTACATATTTTCACGATAATTACACTTCAACAAAAGTAATTATAAATGTCTTGAACCTTAAATGTCATTTCTTTACAAAGTGAAAGTATATGAAATTAATACCTTACAAGAGAAAATGATATAAAATAATAATATGACTGATTATTCATTAAATTTAATATTGAATAAAAATACTTGACTTTAATAATTTAAAAAATTAGTTTAGTCGAAAAAACATCTTAATTAAGGATACTGATTTACATGCATGAGTTTCCAATTTTTACTAAAGAAGGAGTACCTCAACTTTAATTGTTGTGGATTTGCATGGACCTTGAAATTTTAAAGGTTGTAAGAAGAATGTTTTGTCCTTTGATATGATAAGTGTTGCATTATCTTGACTCGCACACACATCTTGCCATGCTTTTACAAAAGCCTAGTGCCAAATAATTTAAAACGTATTTAAATCTTCTTTATACAATAATAATAATATCATGAAAAAAATATATAAAAATAATAAAAATATACTTCTGAATCATCAGTATTGCCATCTCCAATAGCACCATATTTAGAAACATCAAAAGTAGAGCCTTCATAATCTGCTTTAGGTATTATTCTAGCACACAGGCTATGTGAAGCAATAACAAGTATTAGAAAAACAAATAGTAAAGCTTTCATATTTTATAGGAAAAGACTAATATAATAATACACACGATATTGTTGTGATGTGAAAAATAGAGAAAGAATTACAATATATAGAGAGTTGTTGGTGTAGTATATAATGGAAAAAATGGTATAATTAGAAAGAAATTATGTATTATTTTGTGCATGATTAATAAAACTATGGTGTACACAGTTTTGTAATATTATATATAGGGAAAAAATCACTTTTAAACTTTAGGTAATGACCAAAACTGATAAAGAAACTAGTTAGAAACAATGTAAAAATAATTTTAAAAGCTATATATGAATATTATGAATATGTTGAAAGCAATTATATGTAGACTTCAGATCTCTACAATTCTAGTATGATTTAAATAAAAGTTGATATACGAAATATTACTAGTATTTTGTTGGATTAAATCAAACAGTAGGCCAATAAAATTGATGAATTATACTTGGCCAATAAAGTTGATGAATTATATTTGGTCAATAAAATTAATAATTGTATATATTTTATACAATATGAATCAATATTCTTAAATTAGTAAAAATAAAAATCTGATTATGTTGAAAGGAATGGGGAAGTAGACCACTACAAGAAAAAGTTTGTTTACGGTGAAAATTCTAACATCTTATTCTTGATTTGATAAAATAGTAAATAAAAGTATGTATAACACAAATATTCACCCAACAAAATACTACTCACAATAATCAAATCATTTTAAATCACATAATAATGGAATAACTCATTTGATAAGAAGCAGAAAATTATAAAACGTTTGACATTAAAGCCTCGACAACATTATTAGTTTAAAAAGTGGTCCTTCATAAAATTAAATTAAAGGAAAAGATACGCAACATAAACAAATAAAGAATAACTTGTTCCCCTCGTGTTACGTATCAGAGCGACTCCAACTATAAGACTCGAACGACAAATAATTAAAGAGATACAACACCGTTCTTAGCCTCAAGCCCCTACTCAGGTACCTGGTTATATGTACTCCAAAGAAGCACAAACGCAATAATACACAAAAAGGGGTGAGAATACATTCAAACAATAAACAATTCGGATACACTACAAGAAAAAACACATTTAATCTCGGACGTGAAATACATTTAACCTCTGTTACAGAGGCGAGGTGACGAAGAGTATCATGAAAACACACTTTACCTCTCAATTTTAAAAACATTGGCGGGTATGTGAAAAGGTCATGGGTTCGATCCCTAGGAATACTTTTTTGGAATTCTGAAATTGCAAAAACACATGTCCCCTTTGTTTTGTAATTACATCGACAAATATACCACATTTTCACCTCAGTTATCTCATAAAATCAGAGGGTAAAATAAGTTTGAGTTTATTAAATCTAATATGAATTACTTATTTCACTAAATCCTATATTGAATATATAACTTCTCAAAATTAGTTAGGAAAATAATTATATGAATAAGTTTGTGTTATATTTGAAGATCAACTTACATTGATTAGTGATTTTGAAAATTAGTTTGTGTTATATTTGAAGATCAACTTACATTGATTAGTGATTTTGAAGCTTCCTGTAACTCATTATTCATCTCACATTGTTTTATGGTTAAAATCTCTCCAATGTTTCGAGTTCTTTATTCAACATTTCCGTTTTTGCTAATTCGTTCTTGAAAACATAAAATTTGATGCTTTAAAAAATGAAGAAATATGGAAGAAAGTTGAACAAAAACTAGAAGTATTTGAGAGATTTTAACTATAAAACAACGTGAGATGAACGATGAGTTATAGAATGTTAGAAAATCATTAATCCGTGTAAGATAAGTTTCAAATACAACATAATTTTGCATATGATTATTTTCAAAATCAATTTACTTGGTAATATGTTCAAAGAGGGGTTAATGAAATAAACAATCGACATTAGACATAATAAACTCAACTAGATAGAACAATATGAGAGTTGCACAAAGAATCACAAAAATCATAATCTAAATATCAATATAAAAAAAACACCAATATCAAACACAACATCAAGCACAACAATGTCAATAAACTACAACAATATCAATAACAACAACATCAATAAACAACCTCTAGGGTTTAGGGTCTCAACAACAAGAACAACAACACCGACAAAAACAACATCAATAACAATAAAAACAACAAAAAAAACTCTAGGATTTCGGATCTCAATAACAACAACAATAATAATAACAACAACAATAACACATAACTACAAAAAACGCTTGTTACATCGGACGCAAAAGGCATAATACCTTGACTAGAAAAGCGAGGTAATGAAGGGCAATAGCATACTACTAAAAAAAACACTTGTTGTGTTGAGCATGTTCGGAAACACTTATACTTCCAACTGCATTAAGGCTACCCCTTTTTTTCAGATGAACTTCTCATTCATCTGAAAAAGCTAAGAAGGGGAAAATACACTGCCAAAATAATTTTTCACCGTCCTCTACCAAAATAATTTTTTCTAACCTTTTTCTCATTCATTTTTTCCCACGTACACTTTTCCTACAATGTTGTAAGACCTTCAAATAAAATAGTTAGATGATTATAATAAAAAATTATTTAAACAAAAATAAGTTAACAAATAAATTACATAACTTAACAAAAATAAATTAATTATACCTTAAATAACTTAAACCAAGCTTCTTTTTCGTCCCCATCGACGTCTCTAAATCTCTTCCAAACTTTTTTATACTTTTGCTGAATTACATAACTTATACACTGGGCAGTAGTCCGACTCGACTCAAAACTAAACATTAATAATTTATATTAGTATGAAATATAAGTTAATATAAAATAATGGAAACATGTATACTTAAATAAAAAATTAAAACTTACAAATTTTCGTTGGGCCAAATAAAATATCTTTCTTCAATCATCTAAACCACCTCATCATTGGCAGTCTCCTCTTCATTATCGCCTCCTCATCATCCGCCTCATGGTCGTCCTTAGCTGGCTCCTCATGATCATCCTCACGCATAGGTATATGTGTGGATGATAAGAGTAACTGTGTGGGATGTGCGGTGTGGGATCCCCTAGATTGTGCGAAGGATGGGGGGTACCTGTAGGGGAGTTGGAAAATTAGATCCCCCATATTGCATGAAGGATGAGGGCATTTGTTGGTAGAGAGGTGGAAAGCTAGATCCCCCAAACTGTGTGAAGGATGAGGGTACCTGCTGGTATGGATAACTAGGTCTCTCAGTCTACTGATATGTATAACTAGGGCCCCCATATAGGCTAATAAAAGTTGGTCCTCCCAGATTGGCTAATAAAAGTTGGAGCCCCAAATGGGCTAATAAAAGCTAGATATTCTTGAGGGGTGAGTAATGTCATGAAAGGTTGAGAACTGGCCATGGACAAAGGATCTATCTGACTCTACGGGGGAGGACACATGGCCGACTGAGGTGCCTGACATACTACTACTCTCGGACGTTGGGACTTCATACCCTTACCCTTATCAGATCGGGGTGGAATTTTACCTATTTATAAAGAACACACATTTAATATATATTCCTGAACAACACAAATAATAAATCTTAAAAAAAAATCTCATCAATATATTCATTAACATACTCAATACAAGGTTTCATCAAGTTAAATTACAAAAACAATATAATTCAAAATCTTCATGCTCTTCATCCATATCGTTATCATCATCTGATGTGATATTATCCTCGGATTTAAACTCTCCATGCTCGTCGTCCACTTCATTTTCATCCAACAATATGTACGCATCAACTTGACGCCCCTCAACTGTTGTATCATACAAACTTATATTTTGCTCAACTATAATCACATTATTAATTTGTTCAACTTCTACAACTTGGTAAGCAACATCATCCACTAGATCACCAGTTTCAATATGACCCAATGGTTTTGTTTTGATTACAATAGACCACCCTCGTTTACATGGTACAATTGAAGGATAAGGAACATAGTAAACTTATCTAACAATATGTGACATTATGAAAGGGTCATACTCTTTGTACCTTCAGTTCATTCGAATATTAATAATACCACATGTCTTATCTATTTTTGTACCTCTGGAAGATGGATCGTACCAGTCACAATAAAATAAGACAACTTTATTTTCCAAGTCTAAGTAAGTGTATACCAACTCACAAATATGTTTAACAAATCCATATAAGTCGTCCTCACCATCATCTGTAACTCTTTTTACAAATACACCATTGTTTATGGGTTTTTTTCCCTTCAATCTATGTCTCAGTGTGAAATTTATATTCGTTTATGAAGTATTTGTGCCATTCATTTGCACTTTGAATAGGGCCTTCAGACAAGTTTCACAAATGGAGTATTTCTTGAGTCGGTGCACTAATGCATGACAATTTCTCCTTGAACCATGCTGGAAAATGAGCATGTATGTCACCGGAGGTTGCTTGTACACTGGTGCTATGAAAGTAGGAGATGTTAAATTCCCTATAAAGAAACACACTATAAGTTTCAAGGTAATAAGTGTGTATTCATATTGTAAATAATATTAAACATTTGGGATATACTTACTCAAGACATGGTTTAACTTTAATGCAGTTAATTAAGACATGAACATGTGCAGATTGCATTTCTTTTTGGGTCAGCCAATGCACACCCTTCTTTTCAGAGGGACGACCAGGAAGCCCAAAGAATGATAAGGTAAATTGACTTCTTTCCTTAACATTTACAAGATTCCTTATGATTCTTGGAGTTAACATCAAGTGATTGAAATAGTGACTGCAAAAATGAGATGTTTCCTGATGCAAGTAATGCGCACATATTGATCTTTCAACTTTAGCTTTATTTTTCACCGATCGCTTTGAATCATCCATGAACCTTTCAAAGGGATACATCCACCTATATTGAACAGGGCCGCCAAGAAAATCCTTATATGCAAGATGCACAGGTGGATGTTCCATAGAGTAAAAAAAAACAGGCGGAAATACTTGTTCCAACTTACAGAGAATGACTGGAATATTTTTGGTCCAAGTTAACGATGTCATCCACTCTTAAAACTGAC